TGCTACTCTATTTCCTCAATTCACTGGATCGTGCCCAGGCGCCCCTTTCGTCAACACCGTTATAAACCGTTACTCATCTTCCAGGCCCCCGCCAGGGGCCCACTTACCCCTTTTTTCGACTCAAACAAGAAGGACAAACTGAAGCAAACAAAGGATAGAGCCAACAAACCCGCGTCAATAACATACTAGGAAACGAAGGAGGCAGCGAAAACCGGGCACCACACCACGCAAGCGACTCCAACCACGCAAGCGACCCCGTCGGCTTCCACCTCATCTTCCTTTTCTTCCTCCCCGTCTTCCCCCTCTCCGTTCCTCTCTGACTTGATTGATTAGGTACCGCAAGGGAGAGACCGAAGCCGCGCATACCTCCTGCCATCGCAGAGGACGCTTCCAACGATCAGATCAACGAGGGTGAGACGAGCAGGCGGAGTAGACAGAGAGGAGCGGACTGAGAAGAAGAGGATCGAGGGATGCAGAGGGGGCGGGTGGAGGGTGGAGAGGCAAAGAGGAGGAGTCAAGGCCGGCTCTAACACTTGCTCTAGATGAGGAGGGGGAGGAGGGGGAGGAGGTTGACAACGATGCGGAGATACCAGGTGAAGGCTCTCTCTCTCTTACTTTACCCCTACTCCTGCTCCTCCTTTCCTTGCCCCATTACTTGTCTCCTCCTACGTCGCTCCCTCCTTACTCTCTCCTCCTACCTCGCTCTCTTTCCCTTCCTCCTACCCGTCTGAGCGTCACCGATATGCTTCTCCTCTGACAAGCAGCAGGTGAAGATTCTGCAGAAGCTCTTGAGCAGCAAGACGATAGCCAGGAGGCAGCGGGAGGCGGCGGAGAAGCTGAACAGTCGGCGCAGCCGGAAGGAGAGGGAGAGGAGAAGCAAGCGGAGGAGCACGTGCAGACAAGCGAGCAGGGGAGAGAGATGGGTCAAGGGGAGGAGCCGAAGGCAGGGGAGGGAGAGAAGGCGGAGGCAGGAGAGACGCCTGCACAAGAGGAGGGAGAGAAGGCGGAGGCAGGAGAGACGCCTGCACAAGAGGAGGGAGAGAAGGTGGAGGGAGGAGAGACGCCTGCACAAGAGGAGGGAGAGAAGGTGGCAGAAGGTGGAGACGGAGAGAAAGCGGAGGGAGAAGAGGAGAAGGTGGTAGAGGAACAAGGAGAGAAGGCAGAGGGTGAGGTGGCAGCTGAGGGTGAGAGGGCGGAGGGAGAAGAAGACAAGGCAGCGGAGGACAACGAGCCGAGGAATGCGTTGGAGTCAGATGTTCAAGCGGGTGCTGGTGAAGGAGAAGGAGATAATGAAGGGCAATGAAGAGAAAGGACGATGATGTAAATAAAGCTGCAGACAAGGAGGAGGACGAGGAACGGGAACATGTTCGGCACATGTTATTGGCTCTTCATGCTCTGTTAGCCTTGACAAGGCCCTCCGCTTCCTCGTAGTCCGCGCTTCCCTTCAACGAGTCTCCCGCCTCCTCCAACAGCGCCCCCAGCTCCTCCACTGCAGCCCCGAGCCTCCGCTTCGAGTCGTCCAGGCACACCCGCGCCTCCTTGAGCACTTCGTTCTGGCTCTGCTGTCAGCCACGAGCACGCAAGAGGAGGTGAGCGAGGAGAGGACGAGCAGGAGGTGAGTGAGTAGAGGACGTTGGACAAGGGAGGAAGGGCACAGGAATAGACTGACTGACAGTCTCGTAGCGAGGAAGGCTGGGATGAGGACGAGGGAAGGAGCACGAGGAGCAGGGAAGGGTTCAAGATGAGCAGCAGGGAAGGAAGAGGGGAACAAGCAGGAGCAGGAGCATCTACCTGCTGTTTGATGTCATGCTCGCAATCTCCTGCTGTAGTCATCTTCTCGATCTTTGCAGTCTGCTGATCGATCTCTTTCTGATAGGAGGCATGCTCCTTGGTTAGCCTGACCACGGAGGGAGGAGGAAGGAAAAGAATGGTCTGTGAGTGCGAGACGACGAAGACAACATCACTTCTTACCTTTTCACGACTCCGACCTTGATCTTCAGTTGTCTTGCTGTCTCCTCCATGTTTCACTACAGACGTACTCGTGGAGTGTTCCTACAGATACAAGTCAGTGTTGCCTTTCTCTTGCCATGCTGTCATGCCATCTGTTCCCTTCCTTCGTTCGCTCTTCCCTCCTCGCACGCCTCTTCTATTTGTTACCATTGCTCCAACCGCATTCCTGTCTGAGGGAAAACGGCCCGCCCTTCTCTCATCACATGAAAGGCATCAAGCTCCTACCTTCCCAGCAACCCTCCTTCTGCATACCTGTCTGCCTCACTCCTCGATCCTGCTTCCTCTCTCTCTCTCCCTCTCTCTCCCCCTCCCTCCCTCCTCTCTGCTTCTCCCGCCATTTTTTCAAGTTTCAGTTATCCGTAGTGTGCTTTTAGCTCAACTTGCCTCCAGTACAACATCTCACTACATCATTGAAATAGTTAACTAAATTCTGTATATTTTAAATATTACTTCAGTGTATCAGTTGGTTAGTTCCAGTACTGAATCTTGCGGGTGAAGGCCCCAACCTCGGTTTTCAAATGATCTGAGATGCGCCGGCATTTCCGTCGGCTCCGACTGCCGCGACCATGACGAGCACGGGGGAGGAGGAGGAGGAGAAGCACTGAGGAGGCTCCAGCAAGGGCGGCATCGAGGGCATCAGGGGCAGTAAGGGAAGGGGCAGGGGCAGCTGCAGTGGACTGAGGAGCAGCTGACACCGTAGAGTTGAGGTAGGAGAGCCAAAGGAGTAGTACAATGGGTCGGAGCAGAAGCGGCCTGGAGACAGCCTCGGAAGGGAGGGAACCAGGGTGAGGGGGGGGAGGAAGAAGCCAGGGAGCGAAAGAGAGGAATGGGGAGTTTTAGATGTACTTAACCATTCTGACGTCTCAAGGACAGACTCCTGAACCATTCCTGGAGACTTGAAAGTTATCAGCCATGGTGGTCAAGGTCAACTATCTCCTATCTTCTCCTCTATGGGCTGAAGACAAGGCTCTCAGGTGGCGGACGGGTCGAGTCGCACGAGCCCGACTGCGTCGTTGGACCCAGTCTTGAGTGTGTTGCGACAATCGTCGCTGGAGCTGATGAACGAGCGACGGGAGGGAGCAGAAAGGCTGTCGATGAAGTCGTACAGAGAGGAGTCAACCCGACTTGAACAAGATCTAAGGTGACGCTGCCTCGTGCTCCTCCTCCCCGTTGTCGTTGTCGTCATCATTCTTATCATCATCATCATTCTTATCATCATCATCATTCTCATCATCATCTTCATCCTCCTCCTCCTTATCGTTATCCTTTTGCCATCATGCTGTCATCCTCACTGTCATCTTCTTCTCTTGCCCTCACTCCATTCGCATCAACTCCCACCTTTGACTTCTCCCTCCCCTCCTTACCTGTCTGAGATCTCTGTTCCTTTCTTGACTTCTTCCTCGCACTCTGCCTTGTGTTCTCCTTCAATCCTTCATCTCCCTCTCCTGTTGGTCTTTTCCTTCACCGCATCTTCACATGCTTGACCTCTCACAGCTCATCTCAGGGAGCTGGTTGATATCGGTGTGTTGTCGGAATCAGAGTTCGGCATGATCAAATCTGAAGCCTTCATGGCCGAGGGAACAGCAGTAGAGGAGAAGCCCGGCGATCAAAATCACGAGGACGAGGACGAGGAGTCTAGCAGATGGGAGGAGGAAGGAGGAGAGGGCGAGGAAGAGTCCCCTGGCGGGGAAGCCCCAGGAGGAGGTGCGCGTGAGATCTCGATCAGCAGGGAGGGAGGAGGGTTCATCGACCTCGAGACTCTGACGGCCTCCTTCTCCTCTCCTGTGCACTTTTCCTCTCCTGCTCTTGACTTGCGCTCCCGCCTGAGCTTCGAGAAGTCAGCAGAGCTTTCGAGGGACAGCAAGTTCCTATCAGATACTCCTCCTGCTCCTCCTCCTGCTCCTCCTCCTGCTTCTCCTCTTGCTCGTCCTCCTGCTCCTGCTCCTTTCTTTGCTCTTCCAGCATCCTCATCCCCTCCTCCATCACCAACTGCGACTTCCCTCCCGCCAGCTCAGCACTCGTGGAATCCGTTCGACGTCACGACGCCCGGGAAAGATCAGATGGCAACAGCAGAAGCCGATCGAGAGGCTCGAAGAGGAGGAGGAGAGGAGCCAGGGGTTCTCCTCGAGACTATCAGCTCCTCACTGTGCCATCGCGACCATGGTGAAGATATTGTTGACATCAGTGAGCAGCCAGGAGGAGGAAGATTATCAGCCCCAGCCCCAGCAGGAATCAGAGGAACGGACGGGGCTGCTGAAGGAGATGCAGCAAGAGGAGGGGATTGGGTTTCATTTCTTGAGCCAGCAACCATCGATGTCCGGGTCGAGCCGGAGAGCAGCACAAGAAGCGCAACCTGGCCGTTGAGGTTGTCAGCACAGGCGCCATTGATGGAGGTTTCTCTCCCCTCCTCCTCCTCCTCCTCCTTCTCCTCCTCCTTCTCCCCCTCCTCCTTCTCCTCCTCCTCCTCCTCCTCTTTCGCTCCCCTGCCTCCTCCTCTTGCCTTCTCATGTCGTCCCTTTCCCTGCCCTTCACTGCAGCACCATCGTCTGACCTGCGAGAGCAGGTGATTCCAGAAGCACTAGAAGAGAGACAAGAGGAGAACTCCTCTGATGACGAGCAGACATTAGGAGAGGGAGCAGGAGCAGGAGCAGGAGCAGGAGGAGCAGGAGCAGGAGCAGGAGGAGCCTCTGAAGGAACAGGAGTCGATGTAGACAATATGAAAGCAGGTGAGAACGAGAGTGAGAGAGTTGAAGCGATCAATGTTGAGGTTCTCAAAGGAAATTCGCGAGGTGATGCGCTCCCCTCCTCTCCTTTCCTCCTCTTCCTGTCCTGTCCTGTCCTGTCCTGTCCACTTCCCCTCCCCTCCCCTCCCCTTCCCTCCCCTCCCCTCCTCTCTTCTCCCCTCCCCTCCTCTCCCCTCCCCTCCCCTCCCCTCCTCTCTTCTCCCCTCCCTGCCTCTCTTCTCCCCTCCTTTCATCTCGAGCGTTGTTGATTTGATGCTTAGGTTCAGCACTTGAATGTCACATCGATGTCGCAAGAGAACTCAACAACATGGAAGGGCAGAACGGGCCGAAGCAAACACAACAGATGCTGCGAGTTGAAGATGAGAGTAGCAAAATACGAAGTCATGACCTCAGGTGAGGGAGATGATGATGAAGATGATGATGAAGATGATGATGATGATGATGATGATGATGATGATGATGATGATGATCATAACCATGACAAACACGATGATAAACGGATTAATTTTGATCTTCAGGCAGTATCGAGATTGTGCAGTTCAGGCATCAGGTTCATCACGACGTTGTCATTCTCTGTTAAGATCTTGTTTGCAGCGAATGAAACTGAGGATGAGGGGATGAAGCCAAGGGTAGAAGTTGATCAAGAGGTTGTAAGTGCATCTCAAATCTGCCTCTTGCTTTCTTGCTGTTTCATGTGATTGTCATCGCTCTCTCTACCCCGTTGTGCTTGTTGGTTTTCTTGCAGCGTTTGTTTCTCTATTTTTTCTCCTCACTTCTTTGCAGCTCAACAAGCTCTCCAGAAGCATAAAAAAGCTGTTTCGCCTCATCGCAGTGCTGATTTTCACTTCGGTCAGGCTTGTTGTGTTGCAAGCTTGTTCTGACTTGTGCTGTTGCGACTCATCTTGTTTCTTAGGTCATCTTGATTGCATTTGTCATCGCTGTTGTTGTGCTTGTCTCAAGATGATGTCGTCACCACGATCATGAACATCACCATCACCACCACCACCACCACCACCACCACCACCACCACCATCATCATCATCAACAACAACAACAACAACAACAACAACAACAACAACAACAACAACAACAACATGGCAACAGCAGCAGCAGAATCAACAACAACCATCTTTGAGTCTCTCACTGTTCATGATTTGCTATTTGCTCAACTGTAGAATTACTATGACACAAAACAAACCTTAAAAAATCTTTAGATAATGATAAATGAGATAAATGCTTTCCTCTCATCTTATTTCATCTCATCTCGTCTCGTCTCGTCTCGTCTCATCTCATCTCATCTCGTCTCATCTCATCTCATCTCATCTCATCTCGTCTCGTCTCGTCTCGTCTCGTCTCGTCTCGTCTCCTCACATTGAACTTTATTATCTTTCACACAAACTCTTCTCTCCGACATCCAGTGAACAAAGAAACTTTCATCTCATGAGCTTCTTCAGCTCGCTTGTCTCCACCAACCTGATCCACCTCCCTCCATCGGTCACCACAACTCTCTTGTGCTCCTCCAGCATCGCCCGCAAATCTGCACGGCCTGTCAGAGTGAGGAGGAGGAGGAGGAGGAGGAGGAGGAGGAGGAGGAGGAGAGCAGAGTACGGAAGGGCAGGAGCAGGACGTGAACCGTTGAACAGCACGAGGAGGGGAGGGGGGGAGGGAGGAGGAGAGGCAGCAAGTACCTTGGAGGCTCCTCTTTATTTCTTCTGTCTGTGCCTGGCCCCTGAAGATTCAAAGTGAGCGACGAAGACGAAAAAGAAATTCAAACAGGAAGCGGAAACAGGGCGGAGAAAGGAGACAAGTTCAAGGAGGGGAGGAGGGAGGAAAGGGAGAGGGAGAGTGAGGGAGAGTGAGGGAGACGGAGAAGGGTTACATTTGCTCGGCGGGTACAGAAGAGCTCCTTGCGGAGGAGGAGGAGGAGGAGGAGGAGGAGCAGTCTGGGCAGAGAAACTCTCCTCC